AACCTAACCCAGCAGTTCCTACTGTCCAGCGCCTCAAGGGCGAGGTGAAGAAGGTAGCGAATTGCATGGGATGTTGACTTGCCAGCAACTGCAAACTGTTTCGGGTCCAGTTCGCACGTCACATCCAGAAGGATTCTTGCTAAGGTAAACCCTTCCATAAGCTTCGCCATCTGAGAGGTAAGCGACACGGGCCCAATGTCGTCTTCTATGGTCTTAGCAGGGATTTGTTTCGGCAGGGGCCGGCCTCACATTAGCACGCTTGAGCAGGGAAGCGAGATAACCTTCACGAAGAGAGGCGTTGTACAGATCCGCGAGAACTGGGGCGAGCTCAGGAGCAAACATCTTTAAGACCACGTTGAGTATTTCATCAGGGCCGGTGGACTTCCTGGACTGCACTGCTCTTAAGGCATTAAGTGCCTCGTATTCCGTAGCCCACATCTCATCATGAATGTCAGCAACAGTGATTTCATCGACATCGCCTTGGGAGATAGGTGTGAATGACGCGGTCAGGCCCATGAAGAACTCATTTATTAACTGACACAAAGCGTCGGTTGAGTCGATGACTTCACCATCAACAAGTTGGCGATACCAGTCCTCCTCCGTGAGCGACATACCAGAAATGCCTTTTATGTCTTTCCACCAACGACCAGGCTTAGTTCTTTTTAGGTTTTTCACCTTCGATTTATAGAACGACTTTTTGGCAGATTCAATAGCGTCTGCAACCTTTCTGCGCCACATTTTGAAAACTGCCGAGTCCTTGCCAAATTTACCAAAACATTGCTGTCGTTTGGCAATCCATGATTTTATTTTAGGAGAGAACCAGGGCTTGTCAGTGCTACAGCGGCGGGTCGTTTTTAAGGGGAGAAATCTCTCAACAGCATTTGTCAAGGCACCCATAAATAACTTGAACTTTTCGTTGCAAGATGGAGTAGCGAACAGCTCATGCCAAGAATAAGTTGTCATCCACTGACCAAATTCCCGTAAGCGACTCGGTCTAGTGTCACGCCTGGTTACAGACTGCCTTGCTCCATTTTTATTGCCGGGTTCAGATGGTTGGACAAGGACACAAAAATGGTCACTGGCACCTAGTTTGGGAAGTTGGCGTGGATCAGAAAACAGCTTGGACCAGTTTGTCATAAACCAATCAAGGATCCCCGAGTCACGTGTAAGGACCTTCACAACTTGGATCAAACCGCAAGCCCCCTTGAAAGCTGCAGGGGAAATCTTAGTAGCGTTTGGGTTGAAATCCCCTGATACCGCTACCAAGCTGTCAGGATGATTCGTTCAATTATGAGTCCACTACCTGTTGGACGTGCTGCACGAAGGCTTTGTTGTCTCAGTTGTGTAGTAGCGTGGGGAGGATGATATATGACTCCAATAAGGATAGAGGAAACTTCCCTCGGCAGGCGGGTGGGCCTCAATTGGATCCAGGCAACCTCGAACAGTAGCCCAGTAGGCTCCATATATGTGAGTCTCTTGCATGGAATTGAGGAACGAACATATACTGCCACTCCCCCTCAGGGTGAACCACGATCCTTACGGAAGAGCACAAAACACTCGACACTAACAGCAGAGTCCGGGATCTCACTGTGCAGCCAGGTCTCGGTTATACAAGTGACACCAACTTCATTCAGGGACAAAACACATTCAAGTTCGTCAGTTTTGTTGGCCAAGCACCGTGTATTGCAGATCAAAGCGGCTGGAATATGCGGGCGAATTTTTGCTTTTTGCTTCCGAAGGGATCCCTGTGGTGTCCGCCACAGGATTCCCGCAAGAGGTTGTTCGCTCGTGGTCATCGCGAAGAGCACGTTTTCGCCTTGATCGAAAGGGCTTTCTAATCCCGAGATCACCCAATCTTTTCCATAAGTCCGGGGGAAGCTTCTGTTTCTGGTGTGGTTTCCTCAGAGAATTGAGAAAGGCGCTGGAGTATGTAATTCGTCCCGAATCTAAATGGCTCGAATACAGTGAACCAACATGGCGGTCATCTTGACTTGTCGAGTGGACTCGAAGAGGGCCGTAGATCAGTAGGAAATTAACAAAGTAGTAAGCTACTTGAGACTGTAGAATAAAGGCTGATAGTTTCTAAAGAAACTGTTTGGCGCTGCGTCGTTGGGGGTAACCGTAACGGTGGCCAATTTACTATTTCAACTTCATTGATATATTCAAATTACTTGAAACTGTAGCCCCATTAGTACGTACTGAATCAAGTTTGGCCGCATGACTCTAGATAAGGAGGCTGAAATTGACCCAAATTTAAGAACAAACCCAACCTGAGATTAATAGCTATTAAGGGTGTTTCATGCATTTACATCGAGCTAAAATCACTTCGTAATGGCATGAAAATGTATTAAGTGACTTTTTTTGTCTGAATATGCCGGTTATGTAAACAGCAACTTAGAAGTAAAATGTGTGGAGCCTTTCTTATATTCTATACCGCATAACCAAGGAACATTGTTTTGAATGTTTCCAGTTGAAGACCGGCCGGCATACCAAGTGGAACAACATCCTCATACGTTTCATTCCCAATTGTAAAATAAGATGGCTATGTTAAAAGAGTGTGTTGTTGAAGCCCGCTTATGATCATTTTAATCTCCTCCTAA